ACACACACACACACACACACACACACACACACACACAACCCACACGCACGCGCACCGAGGCAAACACAACCACACCACAGTGAGAGAGAGACAGAGACAGAGACAGCGAGACAGACACAGACAGAGAGAGAGAGAGAGAGAGAGAGAGAGAGAGAGAGAGAGAGAGAGAGAGAGAGAGAGAGAGAGAGAGAGAAGTATTCGGCGATCAGGTGACACACCAGTCTGGCAGAGATCCTGATAAATTCAATACCGATGACAAGCTGTTTCCCCTACCGGCTACTATCTTTTGCTTTCCTTCCCGCGAACGGATGAGGCTTGAAGCTGTACAAGGCGAAAACAAACGGCACATCAACCGAGACTGGTGACAATTTGAGATTTTTTTCTTTTTTTAATTATTACTCTAGTGTCTAATGAGGAAAAATGCTATCGTATCCGTCGCTCAAGGTTCTGGTGGCCCGCTCGAATTGGGACTTTACTGAATGTATCTGACCGAAATTACGGCTTATTAGCCTGCAGGCATCTGACGGCAATTACGTCCAGAGACAAGTCCAAAAAGTCCTATGCCCTAAGATACGATCGGCGTCCATGTTGGAACTGGAATAAATTCCGGACGCCTTCGTGTCCCGGGAAAGACCGATGCGTCTGTACATGGGGCCTCGTTCCACTACACAACATTCTACGTGCATTTGGACAGCGCGGTGGACCACATGCCTTCGCACTGATCCAATACCTTTTTTCCTTTTCTTTTTTTTCTAAATCCAATACTTTGAATGCATAGTTGGACCATTCAGTAGCTTCAGAGGCGTTTAGAAAGTTGTGCCGTGGAGCGACGCCCATGGTCGCTCTAGAAATGTGCAAAATAATGGGAATGAACTTCCCGCTAGAACATGGCCAGATGCGCCCGCCACATTTTTGTCTTTTCCACATTTCGGGAGTGGCGTGGCGAGGCGCTTAGCGTTTTTTGCGTGTGTCTCTCGCATTTTCCACTCTGGAGAGGATGGCTCGAATGGCCGACGCGTATTTTTTTTTATTTTTTTTTTTAAGTGGCCGACGCGTTTCGGTATCCTCTTTCTTCTTCCGGCGGGAGCAAGGCCTCGCCATGTCGGAAATGACCTCCAGATTGGGTTCTTGTGGCACGTTGTATTCGGAGGTATCTGGACTGAAAGATGCCTCAAATACAGCTATAGTGACCATACGTTGTATTCGGGGAAAGAAGGAACCGTTACTCTTCGGCCGGATTTCGAACTCCTGGTCCGTTGATCAGCAGCTACTTCTCTGCAGGCGTTCAGCCAGCTGGCAGGTATTTCGCGTGGCATTCTGAAATCACACCATATAACACGTCAGACAAAAGGCTAGACATCACATAACACGTCACGCGACGTCACCGTGGCAAAATGACAGCACACGTTTTCGCAAAGAACTTAGGGCATACAGGGCTTCGTTCCCATCCACTCGAGAACCCTAGAGTGCTTTTTTTTTTTTTTTCAAAAAGTAACCTATACTCTTCTCTCATCTATCTCATCTTCTTGCCAGTACTCATTTATCTCATCCTCTCGCTTCAGTCTATGCACAGTACGGGGGAACACCAACCAACCCGGATCTCTCCCTAGCCCACGGGGTAGGTTGGCACCACAGCAGTGGTGCAAGAGCAAGGCTGTACCAGTCCCTCATCACGGTGATGAGGGGTGGGCGGGCATTGTCTATGGGGGAAAGCAATGGCCAGTCACTGCACCTCCCCCTACCCCCCCCCAACCCCGCATGGCAGTGTCTAATGGTCAATATTGTCGCTGCATAGCAACCAACAACATCAGCCAAGGTCATGCCAATGCTGGCTTGGGGGGCCAAGGGGTTATCTCTAGCTGATAGAACACCAAGCTTGCCCAGGCCAATGGGGATTGAACCCACGGCGTCCTGRATGCAACTTCTGCGCCAATGCAACTTCAACAACAGCCCAAATACGTATGTGAGGCCAATGGGGATTGAACCCACGGCGTCCTGAATGCAACTTCTGCGCCTTACCAACCGAGTAGTCCCGCAGGCCTTATATTCTTCTCTCAAATCTTTCATCATCTTTCATAGGCCCAAGTCCCACTTGGCCGAATCGCTCATTTTCGGCCGGTGATCTGAACAATCTACGGTCAGGAGTCGAGAATTGGAACAAGTGGGACTTCGCCCATATTCTTTTCAATTCACCTTCACTACCTGCCTACCACTACTACTAAGGCTTATACAGGGAACATGTTTGCCCTAATCACAAAATTGTGATTATTTACACTTTTTCCACATGCACTGGAGGCAGCCCTAGAAATGTAGGCAGTTGAGACAGAAACATGGCTGTCAGGTCACCGGAGTCCTGTGGTCTGCAGAAAATGCCCATGTGGGCGGTGTCACGCGCGGCGGTCCCGCATCCCGCTGGGGAGCGTTGAACCTCACAGTCGTGTCACGCAGGATTTATTCTTGAAGAACAACCAGTCACCACTCCGACCGTGCGCGCCGACTATACCTCTCACGACGCCCCACGACAGGTCGAGACATCGCGAGGTACAACTTACCTCTACCCAAGAGGTTGTCACCACCCTTGGGTAGGCGTATTCCTGCTGAGCTACCGGCCCACATACGAAGGCTTTTATAAGCCTTTGTAGAGGTAGGTCGGTCGAGGGCGTTTTCTCGATCGTCGCAGCATAGAAATGGGGTATGCTGTCGCGCCCCCACCGCTTCCAGGGCCTGGTCCGATGTCCCTCCTCAGCCGAGTGCAGTGGGTTGGTGGACTGGCAAGCTGTCAAGCAGGATTTTGGTAAGTTTTAAGGAAGTTGTATAGAAGTGCATTCACAAGCAGCCTTTGTCACACAGTCGTGTAGTCAGGGTTATCCCTCCTGTCAGCGGCGACACGGCTTAGAGTGAGGCGTTCGGTTTTATCGCTTGCACCTGACCTCGTATAAAGGTTAGATTCAAGGTCACCAGAGTCCCTATTATCCAGGAATCCTTTAAGAAGCCTTGAGTGTAACCTATATGATGAGGAGTGATAAATAACATATCATCGCATGCATAAAACATTCCATACATTACAGGGCATGCATCATGGCACTAAGAGGACGAAAATACCAGAAACCAGACTCTGCAAGAGCACGACCAAAGACACGAGACTGAAGAGAGTACACAGGGAATGCAGAGCAGCCATTGGAGGACTGCAATCACTAATAAATCATAATAATGTCATGGTACATCATAGTTACTAAAAGGAGAGTCTCGATCAACAATGATAAGCGGTACCCCCTCGTGAGTGGGCTCGACTGTCCAAGACTCCATGTCCGGCACGCGCCGATCCCCCTCGTCATTGGGAACCCTGGTTGCTATTGACTCTGGAACCACATAGCTGATATCCATAGGTGTTGCAGGATCGATCTTGTTGATGTACGCCATGCACCTAGCCATCTCCTCGTCTGCAACATTCCTGAGATAGAGTTTGTCTGCAAGCGTAATCTCACATGTAGCTCCGACCAATATCTCGATTGTCCCCTCCGGTCAATGTAGACATATGAAACCTCAAGAAACCGATCTCCATAAAGAGGCTTTCGATAAGTCTGCATAGCAAAATCAGTCCCAACCAAATGGTTGTAGCCATCCCCAAGGTATGGGACAAGGCCTTCCCCTCTGGGAGGTCCGATAGTCGTCTCGGCCCTAGGTGCGGCTGACATATAGGAATCAATCACCCTCGAGCAAATATCGTGCAAGAAGGTACGCAATCCTCCTCAATGTCGCTCTCCGCCGTCGCTGCCTACCGGTCTTCAGTGCTTCGCTACCACCAACACACTCAGTCTCTGTGAGTGTCCCAGTCGAAGTAGTCGCCAAGATCAACGTCACTAACACTACAAGGGTCTTGGTCAGACTCATCTGTCTCTGATCGCTGCACGCAAGTAGTGATTGGAATCCCAAATTTGGCTCTCTCTCTCTCCTGACTTGCTAATCCTTTTGTCTCTTCCCCTTGCTGCATGCCTCGCTGAGGGGCTTAGGATTGCACTCATCGAAGTTCAAGAGTACACCCCAGCGCGCTAATGGTATGCAAGGGAACACCACATGCAGCCAGTTGTCCCTCCAATAGCTCTCCCTGCGGAATATGTAGTCTGCAATCCTGTCGTACGTGGTGCCCTTCGCTCCATCCTTTCCTGCCTCTTTTACAAAATAGGTAATCACCAGCATGTGTCGTGAGGTTGGGGACTCATTGGCCCTAATGACGAAGCTCTGATGCCCCACATGTCGGTAGCAGAACTTCTCAACTAGTTTGTCCTAAGTAGGAACTGTCTCAAGATGACGGGTCAGCTTGAACAAGAGCTACATTCCTGCGAGGGTTGATGCTCCCTCCAATGTCTGGGCCCGACTGAATGGTGGTCAGGAACTCAATGTAAGTGCCCACCTGAGTGGGTTCAGCTGAACAATAACAACCTCAAGGAATGGGTCCGCCTAAAGGGGCCTGGCTGAAGAGCAGCAATCTCAAGAAATTGGCTCGCCTGAAGGGGTCTGGCTGAACAATAGTAATTTCAAGAAATGGGCCCGCCTGAAGGGGCCCGGCTGAAAGGCAACAATCTCAAGAAATGGGCCCGCCTGAAAGGCAGCAATCTCATAAATGGGCCCGCCTGAAGGGGTCTGGCTGAAAGGCAGCAATCTCATAAATGGGCTCGCCTGAAGGGGTCTGGCTGAACACCAACTCGAGGATAACTGATCAGCAAAACATCTCGTGCACAGGGACCAGTCATAAATACTGAATGTACTGGGGCTGGACCGTGCCAAGTCGTTTGTGCAAGGACTGAACTGCAAATGCTCCCC